AGTAACAGCTTTATTTATCGATAGAATGAACGGGACTTTAAAGGGACTTCTGCGATTATATCCAATAACACGCAATTGGACAATCCTATCGAACTATATAGTACCGTTACAAACGTTACGAAAAGTATCACGAGTTTATAGTACCAGTTTGACAGGTAATCTAATATTTTACATACATTTGTAATATAAACATAATATTTCAATAGAACCTGTGTTTTTAGATCATACACAGCTGGAGGATTGTATATCACCAGCAGAAAAAAATTATGTATCCACTGATATTAAGCCATATAAATCTATGGATATATTAGAGAAGGTAGCAAGAAATTATACAAATATGACTATACACGATGCTATTGACACAATATTTACATTATTTAAAGCTTCTAAAAACATGCCAGGAGATTTGCAAAATATTAAGCAGCATATAGGTTTTATGTGCCTATGCGAAGTATTAAATAGAAATATTAGACTTATGAAAACCAATGAAATTATTAGTAGTCTGAGAATGTTGACATATTTTAAGATTCCAGCCAACTGTGTTTTAACTCAGTCATTATTGCAAATGATTCGTGCAAATGTAAATGAGATATCGCTTCAGGAAATAATTAGTATAATTGTGATACTGAAGAAAATGGATAGTACACCACTGAGAGATGCTTTATCAATAGCGCTGCCTGTTGTTTTTGAGGCGCAGTTACCTACAAAATTGGATCCAGATAATATTTTTATGCTGACACAATCTTTAAGACTTATAAGTGAAAATAGTATTAATAATCCAAAAATACAAAATATAATACTGAAGTCATTACAAAAATTTGAAAAGGACCTGAATATACAAGCAGCTTGGTCTATATTTTGTAGCTTATGTGTTGCTTCTTATCCATCTCCGATGGCTTTTGAATTGCTATTTAATATTCAGAAAATTTTAATAAGTGATGCAAAACAATTAAGTATTCAAGAGATAATAATGGCGCTACACAAATTAGTGCTGGTCACTGCAAGGAAGTATGTCCTCTTTATATTATAAGGTTCTCATATTAATATTTGACATTATAAAAATAAAATATTGACATTAAATTATTATTGTAGCAAAGAATATGGATGCAAGTTTTACAATGAAGCACTAGTGGATGCTTTTGTCAATTCAGCATTATCTGCAGAAATTTCTTTTGACAGTAGTATCTATCTGCTGAAACGCTTGAATGAGCTAAATTATGCTCATATACCCTTTCTAGAATATTTAGCAGCCAAATGTTTCGAACAGCCAAATTTACTAAAAGACGCATCATATTTTAAAGTATCTATTTTCTTAGAAGGATTAATTAATGCTGATTACAAACCAGTATTTTGGGATATTATACGAGATGCAATATTGGCGAATAAAGTGGAGAACAAAATTTTTAACAGATCTATGATTAAATTTGCTCTACATTTGATTGCATTAGATTGTTATAGCCCAAATTTAATCAGCAAAGTCTTTTCTCAGATTATAAAAACTAATGATGCAATGGATATTCATGTGAGAGAGTTATTACTTTTGTATCAGAGTGTTAAGACGCTGTATCCTATGTATAATGGACCATGGCCATCTCAAGATATACTTGAACATGCTGTAAACATACACAGAACATTGCTTAGTCCCATACTTCCCACATTTTCTTTAAAAACGGCATTAGAATTAGCATTAGGTGGCCCTCAATATGTTCATAATAACTTGAGGACAAAATTAGGACATTACATTGGTAAGTTATTAATAAAAGCAAAGTTATTCTTTGTTACGGAAGGGAAAATATCTTTTGTATATGCAACTTAAGAATATTTAATCTTTAAATAATATGTTAATTTTCCATAAATTGATAAACATTCAAATTGATAATATAATTTAATTATTAAATTATATGCCGACATGAATTTTGACCAAAAAATAACAGTATGTAATCCCGAAAATTTTTGATATGCTAATGCTAAAACCAAATCCATAGCTCAAATTACTCGATCACGTCAGGTTTCTGAGATATTATTACTTAAAGCGTCAAAAGGACTTATTTCAAGCGTTTTTGGATTAGGATATCTTGTAAACCGATTGTTTCACCTTTTGGTAAATTTTACCTGTGAAGTAAATCTGGTAATCCTCGCATGTGATTGGGTAATCTTGCTACTTAAGGTAAAATTTACTAAAAAGTGGAACAATCGGCCCTTAATGGAGAAATACGGGCTGCGAATTCGAATTCAATATGAAAAAAATCTATGAAAATCATCTATGATTATAAATGGGTCTACGCAATATAATAAAAAAAATATATTATAAGTATGTTACCATTCTTAGCCGAACAGAGTCACGAACGTGAATGTAATGGTTATGGATTCCATATTCTTTTTATTTTTTATTTTCAATTTTTTTATTTTCGAAGTTTTTATTTTTACTTTTTTAAAATCTTTTTTGTATTTTTTATTTTACACACACACACACACACACACACACACACACACAATATAACGAAAAGAACAAAAAAAAATATTTACAGGGTATCCCATTTTAAAAGATCCATTCAAATACCTCAGAAACACTACGTTAAATCGGAAAGTGTTTCAGACAAAAGTTTTGTGACTTCGAGGGGGACATAAGATGGTATTATTGGTTTTATTTTTGCACTGAAAATTCATTTTTATGTAAAAATTAAAATAAGAGAAACAATCTCCAGTGACCTTGATTTTAACAAATATTATTCAGGACATGATCCTGAACAACATAAAGTTCTGAAAATTTTTTCAGTTAAAAGTTGATAAAAAATTCTAAAAAAATTCTTAGAGTTCTATAAGAAGAAAATAAACAATTTTTATCTCTTGCAGTTTTTCTATAAAAAATTAATAATATTTGAGTAAAAAATTATTAAAGATCAATTTTCGACAATTTTTAGCAATAATGTCTTATTAACTTTTGCTAAAATCATAAAATGGTAGAGGACTTTTCTTCTCAGTTTAGTCCATTCTGTTCCTGCAAAAGAATCATTACTTTCCAAACATATATATATATATATTGTGAATTTTGCCCTACTTTTCTCTCTTATGAAAAAAATGACGATCATTAAATATACTTACATCATTCGTATTAGCTTGATGGGGGACTTCAAGGGAATGGTTGTAGTAGCGGTCCGCAGTTCATATTTCTCCATCATATTAAGTTTACGAAATATTCTAATTTAAAAATGTTCAAAATAGATCTTTTTGACATTTTAAGATTAGTATAACAGATATCTCAAAAACCTAACGTAATGGAGCAATTTTAGCTACGGATTCAGTTTCAGTATAGCAAAAACTTTTGGGATATGTACTGTCGTTTTTGGATAAAAAAAAATATTTTTTTGTAAGCTGTGTAATTGGTCACCTTACATTATTTTTTAATAATTTTTCATGTCTCGTTAATTTTTTAGCAATTTTTTAAACTGCGATTAGCAACTTGAAGTTTATCTAAAATTTTATCATTGTAGATCACGTTGTTGTAATGAGAAAAGGAGGATATCCTGTTGCAATTAATACAGTTACATCTAATGCAACTAACATGACATACATTGAAGATATACAAGCTCCAAGCGAAAGTCAGATGTGAGAACACTTACGGCTTATTTAATACATTACAATTGATTTTTTTGTATTGCTTTTTTGTTATCAGTGTGTATGCATTTTAGGATACTTATCTTCAATTTACCTGAAGCTGCATATGCTGTGAATTCTCAAAGACTAAAAAGTACATGGTCGTTAAAAATAAAATCCGTTGAAGCATTAATAAAAACAAATGCAATTGCGATAAATTCTAATTCTTGGATGAAATTACCAGAATACGAAAGACTTCCATATCTGATGCGAGCTATAAGGCTAAAATGCGAAGACGACTCATTCTTAACGAAATAAAATATATTTTATAATCGACAAGAAAATATGTACAATTGTCGGATTTATTCTGAATGATATATTTTGAATAATAATGTGACTAATATATGTATATATACAGTGTTTCTTAAATAATTAATCATTTAGTGCTATTCCTAATAAAAAACTGAATCGAAAAGACCTCTACCATTTTGCAATTTTCGCAATATTTTTTTTAGTTACGCCCACTCAGCAAAATGTCTAAAATCGACATTTAAGGGGATGCTGGAGTGTGTCTTGTTTTACCATTAATTTTTAAAGACTCTTCTCTTAATTGTGTTTATGGATTGAAAAGTCCTTCTCCAGAAACAATGTTTATTGTATAATTACTTAACTTTTGCGCGGAAATAGCTCGTCGGTTTCTGATCGGTTGGAACGCAAAAAAGGTTCGTGTGGGAGACGAAAAAAAAAAAAAAGCGATGCTGTTTACAACGAAATGAAAGGGGTGATCCCGATTGACCACGGCTCGATTGGACACCACCAATCAGTGACCAGGTGCCTAGGAGCTTTGTAGTCTCAAGCGCTGTGAGTGGCTCGTGTCCAATTGAGCCGTGTCCAACTGAGTGCCACCCAAATTATATATCTATATTCTATTACTTTCGAGCAAACGAGCGTTGATTGGCTATCGCGCCAATTTTCGCCGCGCAACAAGCGTTGCCGCGTTCTGTGTGCGGGAGCCATTAGGACCACTACGGCTATTGCTGGATTCACACTGCATCCAATTTGCGTCATACGACGCTTTGCAACCAATCAGAAAACATGATTCCGATGGATTTTGCTTCGTATCATCGGAATCCTGTTTTCTGATTGGTTGCAGACCGTCCTATGTCGCAAATCGGATGCTGTGTGAATCCAGCATATGGAAACCGAATTATGAGGTGCGTTCCGTATCGCGCATGATGTGCATGATGCATCCGTTGTCCTTGTTTAACATTTGGTGAGCAACAAGGATAAACGATGCATTATGCGCATCATGCGAGAAACGGAACGCACCCATGGTTACGGCCTATTATAAACCAGTCCTTATTCCTGTTCCTATGATTTGTTTTATTGTGCGCAGGCCCTTATGCTTGCTAGAGTATTTTGTATATTCCAACGAAGAATAAGATAACCGCTTTATAGCTGTTTATAGCTTTTTATTCTTTCATTCTGTATGTGCATTTAATCATGCGAGGAATAAATAATTGGATAAAACGTACGTATCGATCAATGATGCAGAATTTATGCGCAAAGTCTTTTAAATAAGCGAGTAAGTCTCTTTGCATTATTATATTTCCAAGTATAGTTATAATATTAAATATTATTATTGTTTGGATATAATCTCCATTATTCTGAAAATTATTTTGTTTATGTACATATATTTGTATGTATTATGTACTTTTATTTCACATTTATTGGTATCTTGGTTACATTAACCTGTGTATTATCGAGATAATAAAATAAAAAATTATGCTTCTACAAAAAAGAACTTTGATAATATTAGACTTCTGTGTGTTGTTTGTCAATTTATTAAAACAATAAAAACAGATTATTCCACATAACAAGTAGTCAGGATTAATGATTGTGTTAGCTAATGCTTGCAGATATTTTTAAAATAGTTGTAATAAATAAAGGAGTTTTTAGTGAATATTTGATTGGATGCATTCAGTACGCATTGATGCGCATTAAAGCTGTGGTAAAAAAATTGATTGACATATAAAAATATGTCAAATGTAAATAGAAAAATGGATTAAACCATGAAATTCTCAATACATTTTATTGTGCTGTTAGTTAAAATCTTCTATAATTTAAAATATTTGCATTTTGTACAGATTAAATCATTCTTCAACGGCCATATACACTGGTGTGCAGTAGTATATCAAGCTAAAATAGTAATGCGCTATAAGTCAGATTTTATGTTTTGTATATTGAGGTGAAATATGCCTTTTACCTAATATTCATTCTCTCTCTCTCTCTCTCTCTCTCTCTCTCTCTCTCTCTCTCTTTCAATAAATCTTTTAAATATTTAATTTCTACATTTATAAATTAAGTTTTTTTTAATTATATATTTTTGTCTATATTTTCAGGAAATATTAATTTATATTGTGCCACAATAAATAAATAATATTTTGTATTAAAATGTTTCCTAATATCCAGAAAAAGGACTATAAAGTCCTGGATTTAATACGTCAAAGAGAAATACAAGTAAGTTAAATAATTCTTGAATATTTTTAGATATGTTTACTAATGTTTTACAAATGTGTATAATATTATGTATGTATACAATATAGGACTCAGTGACACATATGATTTTACAAAAACTACATGTTACTGAAAATTTGATATCACGTCTGGGTTTAGAAAAAGAATTAAATGGTCATTCAGGATGTGTCAATTGTTTAGAATGGAATGAGACTGGGCAGTATGTATTTATTATTTATGTTTTTATATTTAGGTATAATTTAATCAATGACTATGTATGAAATATATACATATTTTTTTGTACAGAGTGCTTGCATCAGCATCAGATGACAAAGACATTATATTGTGGGACCCTTTTCGTTATGAAAAAAAATTGGTACTTCATTCAGGCCATCGCGGAAATATTTTCTCTGTAAAAGTAAGTTATCTATTTCTTCTGCAACATGTATTGATTTATAACTTCATAAAATATAATATCTTGTAAATATGAATTAGATGTCAAATAATTTTCGAAGCTTGTGTATATCATTACAAAAAAATATAGATTTTTCTAGAATTAACAAGCTTCTTACATTTTTGTAAGACTATGATTATTCAGAGCATTAAATTATTTTTGAGATTTCACTTAAGATTTATTTTGATATTTGTATTTTGCTTTTAGTTTATGCCAAAATCAAATGACAGTGTACTGGTGTCAGGTGCAGCCGATTGTAGAATTCGAGTACATGATCTTACACTCTCCGAACCAATATTTACGTGTAAATGCCACAAACAACGTATTAAGCGTATCGCTACTGTTCCCAGTATACCATTTTTATTTTGGAGCGCTGGAGAAGATGGTCTCTTTTTGCAATATGACATTCGTACACCACATGTTTGCAAGAGTAATGATCACAGTGTACTTGTGAATTTGGTATATCATACAGGCTCTTATACAGAGGGCAAGTGCATTGCTGTGAACCCGAGGAAACCTGAACTAATAGCCATCGGTGCTAATGACGCTTACATCCGAATGTATGATCGACGAATGATAAAACTCTCGCAGGTGATTCTATTTATTCTTGATCAACTTTAACACTTGACAATAAATAATCATAAATAGTGATAAAAGGCACTTTATCATTTTTTATGATTATTTACTGACTTAGGAGGGGGCACAGTTTTCATCCATCTTAACAAATGTTTTACAAAGCAATCCCATCATTTTGTTTTAAATTATCTTGTTTATGAATGGCACATAATAAAAATTAACATGTCATTTCTTGCTTCTCGACATTACGATTCATTATAGCTGTGGTGACTCGGAAACCTTAATGCCAATAACTTTTACATTATAACATTCTGGTCATGAAATTATAGGTTCCTCCATCTCCTTCTATACATGATAATTCAAATGGGGCAAATATTAGCACATATCGAGCAGGTAAAGGTGATCCAGATGACAATATTCCACTGGGTAGTGCACAGTACTTTATTGCGGGTTTGTTCCTACAGAGATAGCGTATGCTGTCTACTTTAGTTCTATTTTCATTTTCTGATCAATATTACACAATCGTTGTAACCGAAAAACTATTCGATCTAATACTGAATAGGTCATCTCCGCTCTCGTGATGGTACCAGGAACATTACGACCACCTATTTGACATTCAACGACGATGGAAATGAGTTACTCGTGAATATGGGAGGAGAACAAATTTATTTATTTGACATCAACGATTCAAACAGTTCAAAAAAAATTTTCGGTTCATCCCGGAGATCTCCAGGTAAGTAATGCTATTGCTTTTATTGTATGTGTAATTAGAATTACTATTCTAATGAATGACAATCCACTTTTTAATAGGATCAATTGAGCAAGATCAAAGACTTGACGAATATTATATGAAACAGAACGATGTAGACGAAGCAGGAGATTTTGTAGATAAAAATGTAAAGATATTGCCACCACATGTTGAAAAAATAAAGCGCCTAGTAAGTTTGTACAGTCATTCCTTGCATATATTAAACAAAAAAAGTAATGTTTAGCATATAAACAAGTACTTTTCGCAATAAAATTTTATTTCATTATTTTTATACTAGTCCTCGAATGTTGGATTTATCTCTAAATATTTTTTATCCATTTTTGTGAGTTTATTTTTTTTGTTGAGTAATGGATTTCATGTTTGAAATAGATGGATGATAGTTTGTAGTATATTCCGTTATATTTAAATAAAAAAAATTTTAATTTTTGATATTAGAATATTTAATACAATGCTTTTTATGATCAACAGGCAAATGAAGGCTTTGAGCAGCAGAAATATTCATTAGCAATTAATTTGTATAATAAAGCAATTTCAAACTGTCCAACTGCAGCAGTATTGTTTGCTAATCGAGCAGCTGCTTATATGAAACGCGCTTGGTAACTATTCTCGCTCATAACAGTATGTATAAGATAAATTGTTAAATTATTATATACACGTGTATATAAGTGTACATAATTATGATATTCTTAGGGATGGTGATATTTATGCTGCTTTACGAGATTGTAAGACAACATTACTTCTTGATCCAGAACATGTAAAAGCTCATTTTAGGTAAACTTAATATATATTTATTATAAATGAAGAATTTGAATGTTTGACTACCATAGATAGTTCAACCATAACTGTATGAAATGTATTTTTACAATACTAATTACAATTTATATAAAAAAAACGCATTTTTTTTCATATTATTTGAAGTGGTTTAATACATCAATATATTCTCAATGTACGAGTATATCTCAATTTGAAATTTTATATTTTAATAGACAAATGTACACTAATGAAATCTATTAATATAATTCATTGTTTGTACATGTGTGTAGATTGGCACGTTGCCTATTTGATTTAAATCGATCAATTGAAGCGGACAAGGTGCTCAAGAGTTTTAAACAAAAATTTCCAGAATATGCATCTAATTCAGCATGTAGAGCGTTAAAGATGGACATAAAGGAAGCTATCGATGCCGGTAACACTATTTAATTTAATCATTTTTCTATATATAAAAATACTTTATATAACGTATGCAGGATGCTTACTTTAATCAATTTCAATCAGTTTTTAACAAAATCAATATTTTACGAGATATTTTTTATTTTATTCTGGCAAATTTGGACACAATATAAAATATCTCATAAATTATTCTTTTTTTTTATTACCATACTTTAATATTTTTATGCATAGAATAATAAGATGAATCACTTAATGTAAAAAAAGCATATGGTTGCTTTTCAAAAAATTTGCGCTTTTTTGAAAACCAACAATGTGTTTTCTTTACGCCAATTGAGCGTAAAAATCATTCACCAATTGAACCATCTCATTATTCTGCACAAAAATAATGTACAGTTACCAAAAAATAATTTACAAAATATTTTAAATTTTATGTCAAAATTTGTCAGAATAAAAATCCACATTGACTCTTTTTAATATGTATTATAATTACTAAAATAGATAATAGCTAATTGTTTAAGTCAATATTGCATAAATCATTATTTTAATTATATTTACAATTTCAATGTACATAACAACATTCTCAGCTTCAATACAGGATATGCAATAGGGACAAGCTTAACATCTTGTGGTATTACTGAACTCATATCTTTCGAAAAAGTTTATTATACCTTAATAATTAAAAAATAAAATATTATCGCATATATCAGAAGACACTGTAGTGTCTCGATGCTAATTAATAGTTTAACTTAATAACAAAAAATACTTTATCTTATTTATTTGTGCAAGCTTTTTTTATGGCTTTTCTGTTTAAATATAAAGGCACACTAATAGGAACAAACACAGTAATATTTAATAATGTAATGGAGACAGTTACTCTATTATTCGTTATGTCATTTTTTTCTGCAAAATATATGCAGATAATGCATAATAAGAAATCATAAACATAATATTTAGATATTAACTTATCTAAATATTTATATAATCGAAGTAACCAATAAAGTGTCGGCTTTTTAGTTATTATTGAATCCACTTAATAATTCTAAAAATATATAGACTTAGATAAGTATTTTATTGTTGCTGATACTTATTATGTTGTTATTATTATTAAAAGAATTAATTTTAACGCATTTTATCTACTAGTGAAAGATATCACCCAAACTAGGCAGATATTACTATCAGAATATGAGCAAGAATGGAGGCATAATACAATTGACTACAAAATGAGATTCTGTGGACATTGTAATACTACGACCGACATAAAAGAGGCCAACTTCTTCGGAAAGTAAATAGATTTGTAAACAGTGATATAACTATAGTGATTAATTTCATTTTTTCCAAAATCTACATTATTTGCATAAGATTAAGTTAGTTATTGTAACATTATCTTCTTTTTTAAGTAATGGTCAATACATAGTGGCTGGGTCAGATGATGGTTCCTTTTTTATCTGGGATCGTAATACTACCAATATCGTACGTGTGCTGCGAGGAGACGAAAGAATCGTTAATTGTTTACAACCACATCCATCCATGTGCTTGTTAGCTACTAGTGGCATTGATCCAGTGATCAGATTATGGAGTCCATGGCCAGAAGTAAATCGTATTTTTTATTTGTTTATTGTATATTTATTGTGTTCGGTTAGATACACAGGAAGTAGCCTATCCTTTTTATTTTGTAAATTAGCAGATACAGACCTAATAAATATAATATTAAATTAAACGGTTCTAATTACATTCATTGCAAGCATAGTAATCACTTAGAAAAGTTATCTATGTTAGAAAACGGAGGGATATGCATATAGTTTTTGCACGTAAAATAAATGGTACGATGTAATAAAAGTTGTAGCGTTTTTTTTCTAACGGCTAACGGAGTGTAATTATGTATAACAAAATGATTATCCAAATTATGTAAATTATTTCGGTTAAAAATTTTGTGGGCAACTAATACCTTTTCAATTTCGGCCCTGCGATATGGCTAACTTCTGAGGTGAAGTCCCATGAGGCGTATTTGCCGCGTATCACGTACCAGCGTAATCAATCACTAATCAGTAAAACACGAAACCACAACAATAAATTGCTTCTGGGCCCCTATTCTTGAAAAGAAACATACAAAAATCTAGGGAAATACTACATATACGTATTACATATACTGTAGTATTTTCCTAGAATTTCGTATACGTTTCTTTTCAAGAATAGAGGACTTGATTGATTACGTGGTGTCGCGATACGCGACAAATACACCTCATGGGATTGATGACTCTCGACCTGACTCTCGACAATTGACAATTAACGTATTAACATGTCATCTGATCAATGATTACCATACTTGCAATGGAGAATTAAAATCGTTAAATTTAAGGGGTAACATCTAGGGATAGGTGAACGCCTGAAAACATAGGGTTACTTTGTGAATTTTTTATAATCAAATAATAAAATGAGTGGAAATTCGGATTGAAGGCCTTTAATGTACATATATCTAAGGACACAAAACAATTTTTGTTTTTTTGTGTCAAGATGGCGGTGCTGGAGCTCTGCAAGCGAAACTGCGTTTTTCTCATAGGCCTCTGGGGTTTGTAGCAGAAATGCCGTACACTTTCACTAAGGACAAAAAACAAAATTTTTTTATTGTCTACTTAAATTTGCTAGAGAAGTACACACCTATATGTTAAAATATTGATTTTTGTAGAAATGGTGAACATTGTGACTACAAAGTTTATTTTCACCCAAAAATTTCAATAAGTAAAAATTTCAAGTGGATCGGATAAAGTTTGTTAAAGTTATACTGCAAGCCAATTAGAAAAACATGGTTTAGAGAAACACGTGTTTAAAGTTTTGAGCAACATTATTTCATATTTAATTATAGAAATTTTTAATTTACCTTTAGTCTGCGATGTCTACATCATACAACTGTCCTTCTGCATTGATATTTGCTTCCTTTTCCTCTTTTCTGAAAGATGCGAAAGCTTTACAAGCATCCTTAGCGGTATCTGTAAGCGAGCACTCGGTAAATTTGACGCGACGCGCGTCAGCCTTGACGCAGAAATTATAGCAATTGTGGTCTATAGTCGTAACACTTGCATAATTTTTATTATACTTGACAATCCATCATTGAAAATGCAAGCTACGATATTTGCAGCAATGTTGATTATTTTTTTATCACTTGAAGACGTTTTCGGAGCAAGCGACCACACAGTCGAATTGACGAAAATCCTCGCTTCCTCCACGTCCTAACGCCAGACACAGTAATTCCAATATATTCTTTTACTGTCGATAGTTTCTTCTCTTCTTCAGTTGTTTTTTTAATACGTTTCGAACTAACATCGTTATTATGTACTTACAGAACGTAGAAGCCTTAAACTGTCGCGTGCTCATCCGATGCGCTTAGATAGCGTCACGCCGCGCTAAAAAAAACTGCTGTAAAACCATTAAAAAAAATTTTTTTTACGTATAAGACCAATTGTACCTTATTTTTAAGACTCTAAGCATCATTTCAGACAAAAAAAATTTTTTCGATTTTTTGAAAATTTTCACCTAGATGTTACTCCTTAATTTAATACGTTTATTAGAGCTGTGTTCCAAAATTCACAGCCAGTGCTGAAAATGAATAGTATACGTAACATAAACTGTAGATTTTCAGCGCTGAATTTTGGAACATAGCCTAGGTCTATTTCTGTTAGTATACATCTATACGAAATGAAAAAAGAGTAGCTACTTATACAGAGACACCCTGTGTGTATACCTTGGGGAAAGAAATTGCTGGAATCGACAATAAAATCACTGAAATATTGTTGAAAATATTTCGGCATAAATTGTGTGATACTTTTAATATTAAAATACTATGAATTTTAATGATAATTTATGATTAACAAAATAAATGAAAACTAATGCAAATATATTTAATATTTATATTAATTTATTTAGAGATATTTAACACTGAATTGTACTGAAATATACCATGAATCCTAAATTATTGAAAATGCGTGAAAAAAATGAAACGCAAGATATATAAATATTTTTAAAGTTTATCGTACTCTGAAATATGCTGAAATACTATAAATTCTAATGATTTTTGTATGTACAACTTTATAGATTGTATGATGAAAATGGATGATGATATACGTCAAAATGTAGAGCCTAAAATCTTAATTAATTGATACTTTATTAAAAAATATTAATCGTTTTTTTTTTCGAGTTATTCAAGTTACTGTATATATGATACGCCGGTCTCAAACCAGTTAATATATTAACTGGTAACAGTATGACAAAAATCGATTTTTTCCTTCCATGAAAAAATCAAAGAGATTCTGAAAGTAGATGTAAAAAAAAATACCCGTGTTTCGGCGTTCTACCAGATCAAACCGTTAACGTTTTTTATGCAGCCATTTATCGTATAGGCTTTTTACAATTTTAAATTATATAATAATTTTTTAAAATAAATAATTGACGTTTTTGCATGTGAAATTATGCGATGAGTCCGAATACAAAAAAAAACAACTGAGAATTATTTTTTTTTATATTCATTATACAAAAATTTGAAAATATATGAAAAACAATAATTCTCAGTTGTTTTTTTTTGTATTCGGACATAATTTTACATGCAAAAACGTCAATTATTTATTTTAAAAAATTATTGTATAATTTAAAACAATTGTAAAATATGAATCAAATACGATAAATGGCTGCATAAAAAACGTTAATGACTTGATCTGATAAAACGCCGAGCCATGGGAATTTTTTTTACGTTTACTTTCAGAATCTCTTTGATTTTTTCATGGGAGGGAAAAATGTGTTGTACTAAATCAGTCATTTCTATTTTATGAGAAAATTGTCTAACATCAATTTTAACCATTACAAAAAAAAGTAGTGACATAATTGCTATGTGGCAGACTGTTTCACAATACTGTAAATTCGTGGTATTTTTTAACGGCACAATCCTAAACGGACTTCAGTTTGCACAAAAGATTCAAGTTCAGGAAACTTTTGAATACTCCATTATTGTTATTGTTGGATATACCTATGAAATTGTTGAAATTTTTAAGAATAATTCCACTTTAATTGATGGTATTTTAAAAAAACCTGTATACATTCTCATATTTATTTTACACATATACACTCACACCGATGTTAGGGTGTATTTTATACATATACACAATAGGAGGACATGACGTACATACTATAATTTATGGATATTAATAAATTTCAAATTCATAGAACTAAATAGAAACTTATTTAACACAAAGGACAACATGTAAAATATTGCAAATTCCATTAATTCAATTTAAATTTGATGTTACAGGATGGTAGTGTGAATGAAAGAGAAATTCAGAATCTAGATGATGCTGCATCAGCCAACCAAATACGCATGAACAGTGATCCATTTGAATTAATGCTCATGAACATGGGATACAGATTTCCCATCCCTCAGCACGAATTTAGCGATGAAGACAGTGAAGATCAACATGATCAGCCGATAACACAAGCTTTAAATTGTAGACCAAGTTAAATTTTGCAAGAAACAGAGAAAAACATACTAACAGTGGCTAGATAATTGAGAATTTACATCACATACGTATTATATCTGTCACAAAATTATTTCAATCTCAATTATTTATTTCTTTCACCAATGTATCTCCAAGCACTTTTGTTGTATAATAATTTATTCAGTCAAAATATCTTTGTCAATCAAATCAAAGACGAAGTAGAATCTTATTTATTAGGCGTTGTGGATATGTTGATAACAAATAGCGAAAAACTTAATAAGAATTATATTTCGAATCTTATAAGATGTAGTTAATAATATATCATATTATATTTCTTTGTACAAAATGATTTATTTTTATCCCCTATGACAAGAAAGCTGCACTGACATATAATTTATCTTCAGTTCATCTGCATTAATACGGAAAATTAAAAAATGTTTTAATGATTTAAAGCAGTATTCGGCATTAGATGCACATTTCGGGCCGATTCTGGCGAGCGACCCTCACTACTACTTGAGATTCAGCGGCCAGGCGCCGGGCCGCCGAGCGCTCACGTGACGCTCTGGCTCAGAAGCGTTTCTGTAGCTTAAACGTGCGGAGGTCGTACCTTACGTTATTAAAGAATATTTTTCTTACAAAATAATTTATTTTCTTGAAAAAATTAAGAACTAAATTTTCTATTATTAACGTATTAATATGCTACTTATAATAATATAATTATAGCAATAATACGTGTACAATGATTAGAGTTCCCCG